GGGCCTAGAGCGCCTTTACTTCACAGCCTTTACTTCACAGCCTTTCATCCTTCCTGCACCTGTTACTTTCGTTCCCTGACTCCGAGATAACACAGATGGCTCTCTGTTGGTGGCGATAAGCGCGCGCCAGGAACCCCTGTCAGGCACTTGTTCAAGGCCCCTACGGCGTCTGCTTCACCATCGTCGACGCCGGCGCCAGCTGGGAAAGCAAAGCAACATAGGATCCACAGTCCACTACATGAAATGGACGGGCTCGACGACGAATCCTTTGCCAGCGCACTTCAACTTCAATTCCTAGCACACCTTACTGATGCCGGTGGAGATCAGCAGGAAGATAAAGGCAAGGGGAAAGGTATCGAGGCACCGTTGACTCTATCCAACATCGGCACGCTCATTGCACAACACCTACAACCTATTCAGCAAGATATTGCAGCAATTAAACAACATGGAGTTTCACAGAACGACCTCCAGACGACAGTGCAGCCTATCAAAGCCGATCTAGAGGAACGACGCGCTCGAGTGGAAGCTCTGGAAATGCCGTCGGGGCCGCCCTCCGCGAAATCCACGTCAGTAATGTCGACGAACAAGGCGATGGCCACTAAGCTCGAGGACCTTGAACGCCAAGTTCGTGCGCTGGGTCCAGCCGCCGGCTTGCGATCACAATACAAGAACACTGACATTGACGGCAAGAGGGAGATCACAGCAGTCATCGGCAACATGGACGGCATCGACTCGTTCCTGGAAGCCAAAGAATGGGTCGAACAAAAACTTGCGTCTATGACCGGACCAACTCCTTCAGAAGTTTATTGCAAAGGCGAGTACACGAACATCGTGTTCATCGAGTTCTCAGACACCACCGAAAGAGATACCGTAGTAGCATTATTCAGAAGCGCAAATTACACAATCAGTGGAAAGAAAATCTGGGCGACTCAAGACAGACCGCCGGCACTCCGTGCCGCCCGCAACTTCTGCTTCGGGTTGAAATACATATTGCGTGACATGATGAACGTGGAGTACACGATCAAGGTCATCGACAGCTCGCCGCTGCAGGTCTTCGTCGGGGGGGAACTGGCGATCACCGTAAACTTCTCAGAACAGGGCTTGGAGTATTCATGGACAAAGGAATGGGAAGAATGGGAGGATTTACAAAACAACACCCAGCTGAAAGACCTCAAACAAGCATGCGACGATTTAGTGGCCCGTGCAAAGCGTGGTATTAAGGGAAGCGCCAAAGGCACAGGGAAAACAAAGGCACAATAGGGACTCCGGCCGGTGCCGGACATGGCCGGCACCGGAGCCGGATGCGAGCCAAATGGTTGTTCGAAGTATGATGCCGATATTGGCGCGAGATTGGGCAAAGCTACCCTCGTCCCAGCATCATCGGCTGTTTCACCAACTTCTTCGCCAAGGACTGCGCCACCATCTACCGCACCACCGAAGACATCGACTTCCGGCCGCGCCAGCGGACAAAGAAATGGAGGTGCAGATGTTCTTCTTCATCCTCAAACTTCTGATCGTTTTGTCCCTCCTGTTCTACACCCCACGGGTTTCGGACATGACGCGGCCATTCAGACATCACGGACAAAGTTGCCGACAGTCTGAGTGACGGCGTCAACACAAGACATTCCCTATCAGGCAGTGGGCGCTGGAAACAAACAATCCCAGGAAAATGGGGGTGCAAAAAGAGAACATGCAGACCTTTGGAACACCAAGTTGTTGCCACCTGGAACGTGCAAGGGCTTGGAAAAGGTTACGGGAAACTGGAGCAGATATTCTACCACATGGTTCAATTCGATCTTGCTATCTTTTGTATGCAAGAAACACATTGCAAGGAATCTTGCCATTTTTTGCGAAATGGGTATTTGGTAATATTGTCTGGGACCCACGAAGACCACGCAGGATATCTATACTCCGGCGTCGGGTTCGTCATTGCGCAATCCGCCATCGCGTCCGTCATCAACTTTTGTCTGCTGGGCGACAGGCGTGCGTCTTTGAAGCTCAAAATATGTGGCGGCGTAGCAAATATACTGTGTGGCTATGCACCACATGCTGGCAAAGACTACGAGTATCGGAAATCTTTCTTCGACTCTTTCGCAAAGGCTTGGAGGCGTCCCGGGTCGCGCACATGCACGTTTAGGGGATTTCAATGCCAGGCTATATATACGAGAGGCTGGCGAAGAAGACGTAATTGGATATTATATGTACAAATCGCCCCCACCATCACAATTAGCACAATCCAACAAAGAACTATCATTGGAAACGTGCAGGGCTACGAGCTCCATGATTGGCAACACGTTTTTCGATCATGCCGCCAACAACACGGTCACGTACCTCCAGCCCGCCCGAGGCGTGGGCGCCAGCAGCGCACCTTCTCCGGAGTATTTTGCACAACTCTATTTTTCTCTGGTGGGAAATACCAACATGGATATGGTGCGGGATATATGGAGCGATCGTACAGCATCTCTGCCGACTCGGCATTTCGTGGCACTGACAGAGTTTAACATGCATTTCGAGCAGACGCAAAAGAAATAACCAAAGACATCCTGTTGTCTCGCCACGCTGAGGGGGCCACCAAAATTGGATACAAGATTTGGGGGAACGTATCTTGAGGCACGTTCGAAGCTACCCAAAACAGAGTCTTTGGACGATGCAGCGGCGAACGTAGCACGAGCCATGCATGAAGCATCGCAGATTGCAGCCCAGCCCCAAGCACGACGGCACCAACCATGGATCTCAGGGGCCACCATTGCCTTGCTGGCAGAACGAGATCAAGCGAGAACAAACGGCACAGGGGAAGAGACAAAACTCAATAAGGAAATCAAGAAGGCAGTGAGACGGGACAAATCAAAATGGTTGGGATCCACATTGGCCGGGGGCTCTTGGAAAGCCATGCGGGGGCTAAAGGCTACACCTTCGAAGACGCCGGTTACAATCAAAAACGAAGAGGGGGATATCGTGGACAGCGACCAACGCTCAAACATTCTGGCAGATTATTTTGAAAATGAACAATGGAAGATCAGCTTCCCAGACAAGCTGCCTGGAGGGACAGAGCCCTTGGGGAATTCTCTAAACATCAACGCGGAGGAGCTCACAATGGACGAGCTGATGCGCGCATTGAAAGCCTTATCGGTTTCAAAAGCCGCGGGGCCAGATGGCATATGCCCAGAGTTTTGGAAATTCTTATCTGCATCAGAAGACGCACGCGAATCCCTCCTTGATCTGTGTGCGGAATGCTGGAAGCAAAAACCGTATACCCGCAGAGTGGAAAACAGCGAAAGTAGTATTATTGTACAAGAAGGGAGACGCCAGGTTGCCAGATAATTACCGCCCAATTTCGTTATTAGCAGTGGGATGCAAAGTATTGGCTTGGATGCTACAGAAAAGACTTCAAAATGGAGGGGCGGAAGATCGCATTCGCTCAACGCAATTCGGCTTCAGGCCAAACCGCGGCGCAGTCGACGCTATCATAATAGCGCGCCGCATCTTCGACGCCGCGTACGCTGCAGAAGAACCTGGGGTACTCGCTATCTTACTGGATTGGGCAAAGGCTTTTGACCGCATCAAACACGAGTCGATGGTTCGAGCGCTTGCCAGATTTGGTATTCCTTGTCAAATGGTGGACATGATCAAGGCAATTTACGATGGAAGGGATTTATATTTAAAAGACCCGGGCGGCGACTCCACACTGAGAAAGCAAAAGGCAGGGATCGCGCAAGGATGCCCTTGATCTCCGTACTTGTTCATCATTGTGCAAAGAGTCATGTTGTTCGACGTGGATAAGATCTACCAAACCATGGCAAGCGACTTCGAGGAACCGGAGTACGTGGTATGTAACGACTTGTTATACGCGGACGACGCAGTTCTTCTGAGTGCTAGCCCGGTGAAGTTACAAATCACAGTGGACTTTATTCTACAAGAGGGCGAAAAGTATGGGCTGGAACTCAATTGGATGAAAACAATGATGATGAGAGTGCGTAACAGCGGTCACGTGTATTCACCGGATGGTCAACCGTTGAAATCCGTAGAACAGGCTGTATACTTGGGGGGCTTATTGAATACGACAGTGAACAGCAAGCCAGAGGTGACCCGGCGAAGTGGCGAAGCAAAAAGAGTATTCAAACTATTAGAAGCATGTTGGAACCATGCAAATATTTCAAAACATAGAAAGTTGGAGATATTCCGAGCAGTGATACTTCCCAAGCTTCTCTACAACTTGGAGTCTGTGTGGCTTCTCAAAGTAGACCGGAACAGACTCGACAGTTTTCAAGCGGCTTGCTTGCGACAGATCCTGAAAATACTTCATTCGTACGTGTCGAGATTATCAAATGTTGAGGTCAGGGCACGTGCAGGAGCACGCCCACTGAGCGACGACCTCTTAGAACAACAAGGCAAATTGTATAGCAAGATAGCACGATTGCCAGATGGTCATATCCTACGAGACCCCGTGTGTGAGCCTGGAGGGGACACACCAAGGCAATGGTACCGCAAGCGCACACGCGGACGCCCGAAGCTACAGTGGGCGGCGTGTGTTTTCCCGTACGCTTTCTGATCACGCCTGCAGTCTTCGCATGTAGAATTCGAAGAGTCATGAACTGCCGCTGCGCCGTTTGGGCGCCTGGCTTCCTGCTGCTGCTGGGGGGCCCAGCACAGTGAGGGCGACGCGCAGATTCAAATTAGACCTCGCCATCCCTGGGGGGCTGCGATCTGTGAAACTGTCGCCATTTTCGAGGCCTGTTGGGGGGCCCAGCACAGTGAGGGCGACGCGCGGATTCAAATTAGACCTCGCCATCCCTGGGGGGGCTGCGATCTGTGAAATTGTCGCCACTTTCGAGGCCTGCTGGGGGGCCCAGCACAGTGGCGCCACGGGCGGACCCAAATTAGACCTCGCCATTCCGTAGCCATTTTGGGTCAAGTCATTTTGGCTCAAATGCTCAAGGCAACCGCGCGCTGTTGCAAGCTGGCCCCCGTCGTGAGCGCACCGCGCAATCACCGCGCAGGCCATGTCGATGCAGGAGCAGAATGATGCAACCCTCGAGCTGCTCCCGGGCGCGACAGGACCGCAGGGTCCTGCCGCCCCGCGCCTCGCGGGTCGCTACGCGCTCGCGGCGTTTGCGGTGGTGGCCGCGTCAGCGCTGACAGTGATCGCGTTCGCGGTGGTGGCCGCGTCAGCGCTGACCGTGATCGCGTTCTTCGCGGCCGGGGCGCTCTCTGCGCCGTCCTTGCCCTGGTCTGTCGGCTTCCAGCACTCTGACGACGACAAGACTGGTGAGCAGGTTTGCCAGGGTCATGGCTTCAGCGAGGGTCAGTGCCTCCGGAAGGGCTGCTGCCATTACGACAGCAATTCCTGTTGGTCGAGTGTGGGGAATGGGTCTTGCACGGGCCCAACAACCTCGGGCATACCTAATGATAAGAAGAGTGGGGAAGATGTTTGCGAAAAGCAGGGCCTCGGCGAGAAAGAATGCTTGGCGATCTTTTGCTGTCGCTGGGAGGACGGCATATGTTGGTCGCGCGTCGGCACTGACTTTTGCGATGACGAGGTCGTGTGCGATGACGGGGAAAAGGATGCGGGTGACATCACCGTGACCGCGCTTCCTGATGTTCTCGCCAATGCTCCTTACAACTACGGGAGGTATTTTGTCAAATACGTTAGTGTGTTCGGTGTGCCCATCATGGCGGACGAGGATGTGCCGGATTGGAAGGTGGAGCATGCAGGAGATATTTTGGCACATTATCCGTAAGGGCTTCGCCCCCTGCCGCCGGCCCCCTCTCTCGGAGAATGGGCCATGGAAGAGCTAAGTCATGAGGCCTTGGCGCTGTCGTGAAGCAGTATCGAAACTTCATGCGAAGCCGAGTCGCAATCAGCAAAACCAACTGATCACAAGAGGGGTTACCACACCTGGCGATTGGTAAGACGTGTATGGTTTAAGGGCTTGGTTACCACACCTTGCGATGAAAGGGCCGAGGGAGTTCTCGCAGTTTGGGTTACCACGCCTTGCGATGGATGTGCGTGATGGGTTCGAATTTCAGAAATGTGGCAAATCCCCTGTGTTTTTGGACCCTGACCCCGCGGATCTGCGTAAGGGGTGGCGCCGAATTTCAGAAATGTGGCAAATCCCGTGTGTTTTTGGACCCTGACCCCGCGGATCTGCGTGAGGGGTGGCACCGAATTTCAGAAATGTGGCAAATCCCATTGTGTTTTTGGACCCTGACCCCGCGGATCTGCGTGAGGGGTGGCACCGAATTTCAGAAATGTGGCAAATCCCCTGTGTTTTTGGACCCTGACCCCGCGGATCTGCGTGAGGGGTGGCACCGAATTTCAGAAATGTGGCAAATCCCTTGTGTTTTTGGACCCTGACCCCGCGGATCTGCGTGAGGGGTGGCACCGAATTTCAGAAATGTGGCAAATCCCCTGTGTTTTTGGACCCTGACCCCGCGGATCTGCGTGAGGGGTGGTATCGAATTTCAGAAATGTGGCAAATCTCTTTTGTTTTGGGACCCTGACCCCGCGGATCTGCTTGAGGGGTGGTATCGAATTTCAGAAATGTGGCAAATCTTCCCTGTTTTTGGACCCTGACCCCGCGGATCTGCGTGAGGGGTGGCACCGAATTTCAGAAATGTGGCAAATCCCATGTGTTTTTGGACCCTGACCCCGCGGATCTGCGTGAGGGGTGTAAATTTCGAGCCCCCCCAGTAATTCAGACAACGCGCCCAGGGGACGCTGGAAAATCCTGTTTGGGCCTCCCCCCCCCTCGCGCGGTCAATCAACTAGTTACAGTAACCAGCAAGAAGTCAACTAGTTACAGTAACCAGCAATAAGCAGAACTGTAACACTGGAAACTAGAAACGACAACTGGCACAGGAAACTGCGAATCACGTGCCTCGCAGCCTGGTGGCCCCACAAGGGGGCCGGCGGATCTAGATTACGATGGAGATGGCAAGGCGAACAACGGAGAGGTCTTGGATTCGATTCATCATGGGGGTAAGTTGGTCATGTTCAAAAGTGGAACATCGGAGAACTATCGCAGGTTCAGGCGTTAGCGCGGACCCTCGGCCCAGGACATCAACGACCTTGACATCCCCAGTTGGGTGGAGGAATACAGCGGCCGCCGCTTGAGGCGTGTGAATGGCTCCCGCACCGTCTCGATGCCCCATTGGGTCCTCTTCCATGAAAGAATTCTTCAGTCAGGACCCAGAGACGGTTGTCTCGAGGAGATCTTACACATGATCTACCATTCGGGATATGCCAGGGTCTACTACGATGCGCTCGGGGAAGAGGACTCCAAGCTTGCCCAAGCCATGGAGAAGCAGATGGGGGACTGCGGCCATGCCTACGATGGCACATCCAAATATCCGAATTGCACTTTTAATTTTTATCGCACGGATAAAACTTGCAATGCCGGCTGCAATGCCGCTGAGTATCAGTGGGTGACGTTGGTATCACTACTCGGAGGTCTCGACGGCACGGTGGAGTCCGCAACCAACGGCAACCGGTGGTGTCCGACCTGGGAGTGGAAACTCTGCAGCAAGAAAGACATCATGGACAAAGACCCGGACATTTACCATCTCTATGATTTGGACGGCGCCAACCCGTACAAGTTGCCAGACAAGTTGCCGAGTGGCAGGTACCGCCCCCACCCGAAGCCGAAGGTACGTGACATGGAGCTCAACCACAAGTGGTATTGGCCGAACGAGTGCGGCCACGAAGTGTTCTGCCCCAAGAAGACGTGCGCCAGGCTGTGAACAAGGTCTTCTACGGTCTGTAGGCCGAGGAATCTGTGAGTCGCCGCCCATCTGGCTGGCCACGGCGCGAGGGCCTCGGCCCGGCCCGAGCGGCGCGGCGGCGCGAAGACCACGGCCATTTTGCCAGAGGAGGGATATTTATTCATATATATATATATATATATATATATATATATGCACGCATGCGTGTGCATCTACGCACACACCTTTGGTGGTGGTGTTCCTAGGCTCTGCGTTTCGTCGCAGCCCTCGCCCTACACCCAGCGGGCATCGAATTTTGGGGCACCAGGACGTTGCCGTGGCCTCTCTCGTGTCTGCCGCGGCGCGGCGGCGTCCAGGGCCTCGGGCACGGCGGCGGAGGACAGTGGCGGAAGCTGGGCGAGGGCCGGCATTAAGTCGGGCATGTTTTCTACGGGAGGCATCTGCAAAAATCGTGGAACAAATGGTCTGGGGACGATATGTTTGATTATTGTTGGTCCTGTTGGTGTGTTTTTAGAATTCTTTCGCTCAAAATCCGCCTGTAGGGGGATATGCCCGACCTAAGGCTGGCAAAGACGTGGCTGCCAGAAGGGTCTCCCCGGAAAATCAAAACAAGTGCCCAGAATACAATTCAGCGCGCTAAAGTAAACGGGCTGCCTCCCGGAAGAAGAAGAAGAAGAAGAAGTAGAAGCAGTTTCCCGGAGCTCCGTTTTAGCAGCCACGGGTTTGCCAGCCTTCGCCTGGCGTCTGATACTGGCCCCTCAGTGTCTCAGCATGTCTCCGGGCGCTTGGGCGAGGAGACGCCAGCTGAAATGGGGCTCGGAGTCCCACGCGCTTCAAAACCACTCGAGTTTCAACGGGTTCTATGTTTGTGGCCTCCTGGAGGCCTCTTGTGGCGGCGCTGGCTTTCTCGAGGCAGGAAGCTTGAATATGCGGCTTGCCGTTTCTTTGGTGGGGCTCTTCTCTTGGGGCCGTTTTGCCGCAGTCTTCGGCAGGAGGAGGAGGAGGAGAGGCAGGAGGAGGAGGAGGAGGGGAAGATGAGCAGCAGATATGCAGTAGGATGAGGAGGATGGTGAGGACGAGAAGGAGGAGGAGTAGGAGGAGGAGGAGGAGGAGGAGGGCGGCTTGGAAGTTCTCTTGGGACGCCTCGGGGCCTTCTTCGCGGGGGGGGATCTTCGGCCGTTTGGTAGTCGTCCTGGGGATTCTCCGAGCCGTTGTGGAGCGTCGGGGGGCCGAACCGGCGAGGTGTCCCAATTCGTTCAAGAAGCAAATTGAAACGAATAGTTCGCGTTTTCCTGGGCTCTTCTTGGAAAGGCCTCGCAAAGCAGGGTTGGGCCGCTTCGGTGGCCGGTTGGGCCGTCCCGAGGACGTCTTGCACGCATCTTGAGCAATGTTGTGCCATGTTTGGGCCGTATTTGACGAGGGTTCGTAGCCATTGGGGTGCGGACCTTCCAGCTTTGTATGTATTTGCAAGGGCTCGGGACTTGATGCGGGTCTGCCGCTTCTCTCACGGGGATCGTAGCATCGAAGGTGTTGACTTGTTGGTTGCCCAGCCATATTCATTGAGACTCGTAGCTCTGTTCGTGGTATGTGTCGCGGGCCTTTATTCTGGCAGTCAGCTGGCTTGCGACCGTTGCCTCTTCTCGCAGGCGTGGCCTGGTATATCTGGGCAGCAGAGTCTTCATTTCAGCCTGCTGGACCGCCCGTCGCTCATCGGCAAAAGTGACTCGGGAGCTGGCGGGCGTGGCAGACAGATCGGGCATATTGTGCGGGCAGCAACGCCTCGCTGAATGCCAGCGTAGTAGGGAACTTAATATTTTTAAAGTGGCGCCGCCACTTCAAAAATACGGCGCACGCGCACGCGCACGCGCACACGCCCACGCGCACGCGCACACGCCCACGCACACGCACACGCACACGCACACGCCCGCGTACACATACACGCGCACGCACACGCACACACACACACAAACACACACACACAAACACGCACACACGCGCACGCGCACGCGCACACGCCCACGCACACGCACACGCACACGCCCGCGTACACGTACACGCACACGCACAAGCACAGACACACACACAAACACACACACAAACACGCACACACACACACGCACACACATACACGCACACACACGCACACACACACACGCACACACACACGCACACACACACACACACACGCACACGCACACGCACACGCACACGCACACGCACACGCACACGCACACGCACACACGCACAAGCACACGCACACGCACACGCACACGCACACGCACATGCACACACACACACACGCACACGCACACGCACACACACACACATACATACACACACGCACACACACAAACACACACACACACGCACACACACAAGCACACACACCACACACAACACACACAACACACACACAGAGCCGCGCCTGGACGGCGCATCGGCAGGGAGGCTGGCAACGTGCAACACATGTGCATCTGGATTCGTGCAGACGCGCCCCCGCTGTGCCTCGGCCACGTACGCTGGAATCCTCTGCCCCAGCGAAGCGCGAAGGTATGCAACAGAAAGGCGAGGACACTTCAGGGTCGGCCACCTCGGCAGTCGCTTGCGCGGCGGGGGAGATCCCGGGAGCCGCTCGACGCGCGTCCCGAGGTGCTCCCGGTCTCTCCTGCGCCCGCTCCCAGCGCCCGAGGTTGTCTCCCAGAGGGCCTGGCTCCCTCACGCGACAAGGGTGGCTCGGTCAGGGGGCCACGTGCGAACCCGACCCCTACCCCCCATGATTTCTGATGGGGAGGGTGGGCTTCACCTCGCTCGGAAGCTCCCAGACGAAGTGAACCCACCCTCCCCCCAGAAATCGTGGGAGGTAGGGGTAAGGTTCGCACGTGGCCCCCTATCGGTGGCGAGCGAGAGGGGGAATTCAGAAGGAGAAGGAGAAGGCCTTCTCAGGAGGCGGCCAGACTTCCAGACTTCTCAGAAGCCCGCCAGCCTTCGGAGAAGTGTTTTGCGTATTCGGGGAGTGCTCAGGGAACTTCTCAGAAGGCCGGGGGACTTCCGAGCCTTCTGAGAAGGCCATCTCTTTCTCACTTCCCCCCCTCGCTCGCCGCCGAGTGGCCTGCGGCCGGGGGACCTCTCCCCTTGTGTCTCTGGGAGTTATGGACCCGTGCAAGGCCTACTGACAACGACGGCCGAGTCGACTAGTACATGAGCGCGCGTAGCGCGTGCGGCCAATGCAGTCTGGTGCGCGCGTATGTGTGTGCATTGGTGTAGATATAAGCGATATGTATACATTCACATGTGTATAGATATATTTTTATATATACATATGTGTAGATCTATGCATGTATGATAGCTGCTTAAGTACACAACACACATTCACAATTATAGAGGTCCCTTGGGGCAGTTTTGGGCCTCATGGCTCAAAAGAGGGGGGGCCCTAAATTTCCCCCCCCCCTCCCGAGGCTCAACAAAATGCGTTTTGGGGCCCTCTTGGGGCGGTCTTGGGGCGCTCTTGGGCTGTCTTGGGGCCCTCTCGGGGCCCTATTGAGCCCCTCTTGGGGCTCTCTTGAGCCATCTTGGGGCCACCTTGACGCTTCCTCGTCATCATCACAATCACCCATCATCACAACCATACGCTCTATGCTCGTCGCCATCTTCGCGCGCGTCTTTACCATCACTGCCACTACAATCTTCATCGTCAGCCTCGTCATCGTCGTCACCATCACCGTCATCACCACCATCACCCATCATCAACGCCGTACCCTACATCATCCTCATCGCCATCATCCTCGTCCTCCTCGTCCTCTCCCGGCTCCTCCATTGCCCCCTCCCCCTCCTCGATCATATTCGCTCATATACATATTCCCGTCCTCCCTCCTCGCTCTCCTCCTCCTCCTCCCCCCGTGTTGCCTCCTCCCCCTAACAGGATGTTTGCAGGAATCCAGAGAAGGGTAGCGGAGTCAACGCAGGAAGGGGAAGGAGTTAACTCAGCGGGGATTCTGCTTCAACTCCGGAAGGGGACGGGCTGGAGGAGAGCCCTCTGGCGGCCCTCTCGGGGCCCTCATGGAGGCCCCCCTGTGCAATTCATGGAGCCCCCACGGGGACATCTTGAGCCCCTCTCGGGGCCCTCGGGGCTCGTTTTGTTACGATGCATGCTGCTACTAAGCATGATGATATAGTACATCGATGCAACTTCCCTGGGTTACCTGGTTGGGATACGCGAAGCGCCTATAATAACGAACAACCTGTTACGGTGCCTGAACAGCCCGCGGCCTTCTTCGCCACACAGGCAAACTCCTGCCTTATAGCACTCGGTCAGGGCGTCACCAGGCGCGTCGCACGACGACTCGATGCCAGGCAGCACTCGGCACAAGTGTTTCCGCTGCGCGACGGCCGCACCTCCAAAGTTCGAGCACCTGCTGCCGCCAAGCTGCAGCGCCGAACACGCCTGCGCCGCCAGCGCCGACGCACGCATAGCGTCACGCTCCAGGATGCGAGCGCCGAGGACAGGCGGGAGCGCTCGAAGCCACGATGCGACGGCCTCTGTTCTCGGCGCAGATGCGGTCAACTCAGCGACGTACTCGGCCGTGTGGTCGGAGCTGAACTTCTCGACAGCGTCCGCGTCTGCGATCTCCCTGGACCTGTCCTGCTTCCTGAGGTGCAGCATCAAAGCCCTCGCCTGGCGCATGGTGTCGTCGAGGCCCCTGCCAGCAGCAGCGCACTCGTCCAGCACTCGATCGATAGCTTCGTGACGGTCGGCCTGCCCAAGGCGAGCCAGTGCGCATTCCCTCACTCGTTGTTCCTGGAACCTCCTGATCTCCCTTGTTCCGGCGAACGCTGGCAGCCCATCTCGCACCCTCTCCCTCGCAGCGGCACCTTCTTGCTCGAACACCTGCCGCGCCTCGGGAGTAAGTGCGCGGTATGCTGCGCCCATCGCTCGGAAGTCGTTGTTCTGGGACATGTGGGCGAACGCCCTCTAAGCACCCCGAAGCCCCCTCTGGTATGGCTGCTGGGGGTGGCGCGCT